GAGGGAGGAGGAGGATGAGGAGGAGGAGGAGGATGAGGAGGAGGAGGAGGAGGAGGAGGGATGAGGAGGATAAGGAGAAGGAGGAGGGAGGAAGAGGGAGAAAGAGGGATGAGGAGGAGGAGGAGGAGGAGGAGGAGGAGGAGGAGGAGGAGGAGGAGGAGGAGGACTAACCCGGATGTTGGAGGAGAGTATAAACCAACTCGTTAGTAGGTATTCTAGCAGCAGACTTAGTTTTGAACTGGCCCACTTTGCTGATTCCCTGCAGAAAGGTCTGATCACGTGACCTGGTTGCTGCTTGTCGGGCGGCGGTGCTCAGATCGTAGGTTCTTGAACTGGTGGCTCTTTCCATCGTGTATTATATCACATCACTTCTATCTCTTTACGTGGAACTCTTCTTCTCTTTTCTGTTTAACGAATCCCTCTTTTCTGTATAAATCCACTTCTTTTCTGTATAAATCCACTTTTTTTCTGTATAAATCGAGGAGACTGTTCTTTCAGTGGTCAAAGTGGAGTTTCTACAACTAAAACCACAAGAAGTTAAGTTGTTAAAGCAATGCTGATTGTTTTACGACACTCTAGCAAAGAGAATACAGTTAGAGAGTGAGCAACTGAGCAGAGAATTACATCTTAACTAACGCATTACATCATGCTCCAGAGCAAATAATCTATTAATAGTACCAAAATAGAAAATACAGCAATTACTGTTCCAAGTGTAAGAATTTAAAATTCAAATACGATTGTTTACAAAACATTCAATTTTTACAGTAAAAAATACAACTAAACTGCATGTTCTTAAAGTATGATACGATCTTCCTAATACTAATAGAGACCACTTGTTAATGCAGTACGTGTAAGATAACTAGGTAAATCAGCTTGTAGCGTACTCTATTACGTTATAGCTAATATTATGTAATGTAATAAAGTTATACTAACAGCAATAGAATTGATAACTGGTGAGGAGATAAATATTGTACCAATTGTGATCTGTACGCCATATTCCGATCAGTGCTCAAGTCTTTAAAATAAAATGATAAACTATGTAGACTATGCAAACTATGTAGACTATGTAAACAAACAAGGAGAATAGATCGGACTATCGGAATTTGATCGACTGCAACTTATCTTAACAAGTAACTATCGAACAGAAAAAACATGTAACCACATGAAAACAGTAACTGTGCTGTTAATCTGAACTGTTTTCAATAAATATGGTATCGGTCATAAAACAGTGCAGCTGTGAAGACAACAAGTCTCTCGACAAGGAGAATATAGTCAGGGATGGAAGAGTCGAATTTTTAGGTTCGCTGGCTCCACAGAATAATATGGTAAGTTTTAGACATTTTTCAACGGAACTACACTTGTTTCCAAACTACACTTGTTTCCAATTTTTGATCACTAAAAAGCACCATATTATTCTGTTGAGAAATCCACACTCAGTGTCAGTGGATTCAGCCCTGCCTAAGAAGGTAATCTCAATAAAACTGAAAGGAAGCTACTTTATCTTGAAGTTAGGAGGTGATAACTGGTATCGTAGTGAGTGAAGGAACCTATCTTGTATAACACCACTACACACTGTACAATAATAATATGTATACAACATCACAAAAGAAACAGAGACATAACAAGAAAGATTACAGTTTATACCAATGTATCGCTATTTTATAATGATTTGTATTTACTCAAACTACAAATTCAACTCAGGTTGAAAGAAGGAGATGATCAGTGCGCATGGCTGACGATAAGGAACTTTCATGGCCATTTGAGGAAAAGGCTGGCTTTAGGACAAAAGTAAACCAGATTAGATAACCTGTTTCCTCCCGGATGTTTAACAAGTTTTATCAGTTAAATTGAGATAAGGGGTCGTTCACATAATATTAATATTACATAATCACTTTTTGAACAATTTTTACCCTTCTCCCCCTCTGTAATCAGTTTTACACAGCTATTTGGAGCCCCCGGCCCCCTCAGTGATTACGTAATATGTGAAGGCCCCTATGTCCCGTAAATCCCAAAAGTCCCGTAAATCTCACCTCGTTCCCTCATCTTGTTAGCCCTGTCTTTAGCAAGTTCGAGGGCTGTTATCCAGCGCTGTCGGTCTACCTCGCTCCTCGCTCTGAGGTGGAACACCTGCAGGTACGACACAAGTAAACACAAGTTAACACACGTAACTAGACGGCAATGCAGTCGCTACTATGTGAACAGCAATGGGATTATAAGATACGGCGTCAGTTCGTACGATGGAGCGAATAAAATTATTATTACTCATTATATGGCATAATTACTGAGGTTGCACTATAAAGCGTGACTCTAACTTGGTCGATTAGACAAAGTTGGAGAATTATCTGATTTAACAAAGGGAGAATCACGAATCATGAAAATAAGAATAAAAACCTGTGCTCCTCCGTTGCTGATAACGAAATTACAACTATCTTCGCTTTCCAGGGAGGCGCCTGCCAGATTTATTGTACCCCTGCAAGTGTGGGCCATCTCAGCCTGCGATCTGAAATATTTCCGATCATTTGATTGGACAGTGAAACATTTCCCATCATGTGATTGGTTATCGGCGAATATTATTATGTTAAACAACATTCAGGAATTGAAGTTATACTACTGTTCTCCAATAAAATACGCGACACAGAGAGTATTTATAATGTTAGGGGCCACACATCTGGAAATTAGAGACTATTGATTTATAAACGTTTATAAACGTATAAATACGAGCACAGGAAAATAATTTCAAGGTATGGGTGGGACACGGTGGTTCCTGTAGTTACAGTAAATAAAAGTTAACATAGCGGTAGTATTTACTAATTTAGCCTTGCTATCATAACAGTAGAAACAGTCAGAACTAGTGGTTAAATTGGTAACAGTGCAACATATACCACGAAAAGCTGGCTTACAAAGTATGTATAATGACCTCTAAGAGTTATTCTATTACAATTTCGAGCTTGTAACGGCCAGCGTTTCGCGGCAGTGCTTTGTATGCTATAGTTGCTTTGGTAACAGTACCCAGCTTTGCAAATTTCGCAGGCATCTGGAGTGTCAAAAATCAGCTCAAAGTCGTTCATATCCAGAACGATAGGTTCTGTCCCATCACTAGGAGTGTGGGCCGGTGTAGCTATACAGTTGAGTCCCAGGAAAGTGGGCCGGTCGGGGGAGACAGGGGCGTCCTCATACCTCTCACTGCTTACTGTAGCATACTCTGTTGCATACTCTGTTGTAGTGTCACTGTCCACACATGATGAACCGTCTCCTCTTTTTCTTCGGAAGTTGAAACAAAGTCTCTTTAGTTTACCGCACAGAGAAAGGGACGAGTCGTTGAGGGTGGAGAGGGGGGTAATGCGCGGCGTTGCACGTGCAGTGTTTCTGCGTGCCATGTCACGTGCAGTGTTACCACGTGACGTATCACGTGCTCATTCTACACGCACTCTAGCACGTGTAGAATTCTACATTCGATGATTTATTGTTACACTCGTTCAGCTACACAGAGATGTATTGTTTAGTTACACATTATATAATGTAATATTATTATATATATAAGTGTAGAGAAATAAGTGTAGTGATCTGTTCATTATTCATGCTATGTATCTTGCAAACTATAGAAACTTGCGAACTAATTACAGCACTACGAATCTATTACATTTACTGAGCATTATCAATGGGATTATGAATGGGATGAATAAGTCTTAACCAGGTGTAGCTAGTCCAAATAAGCTCCATAATTATTAGATATGAAATATGCTTCACTTCTAGATATAATATTAAGCTCTTAGAGAAACTTGCGAACTAAAGAAACTTGCCATACATAAATATCTTGAATAAAATAGCATAAAATACACAAACAAAGAAACATTATCTGAATAAAAGCCAAATATTGAGAAAAGTCAAACGAAACAGACGATTAATCAGAGTTGATGTAACTTATTAAAGTCAGTTATGAAAACTATTGTTAAAGATGTGCAAGCGAGACGAGAGTAAGTGTAAGCAGGTGTAGTAACCATGACAACCAATGAGTTGTCTGATCTAGTGTCACGTGACACGCGTAAATCTGGTAGTTAATTTCCAGACAAACCGCTCTTCTTATCTCGCCAAAATAAATATAAAAGAATATCTTAATATCAAGTACCCAGGAAAGAAGATTGAGATTATTTTTTGTCGGTGTGGGGCGAAAAGCCCGCACAGAAAAAATCCCACGCAAACAAAATCTCTCAATAAAGCCGACATACTAGCTTTCTGTTAACGATGTTTTATATTTTATAATCATGTCAAACATTTTATTTTATAAAGTCATCGCAGTATCAATTTATCAATATCCGATATGGTGGAAGTCCAAGCTACATACTCCGCATATTATCCATAATTATATGATAATATTATTTGACACAACTCTGCCATTTTATGTTATCTAACTCGTGTCTGTATTATGTTGTTATTTGCTTTTCTCAAAATCTAGCTGAGCACCTAGTACTAGCTATAAAACTTTATGTTTTTATGGTGAAGTTTATTGAAGTTACCTCGCCAAGGGTGTTTCCTTTTTCTTTAATACTTTCAAAGTGAAAGATATTTAGTGAAGCCATTACCATGCACCTATTCTTTACAGCTATTCTTACAATACTCATTACCATGCACCTATTCTTTACAGCTATTCTTACAATACTCATTACCATGCACCTATTCTTTACAACTATTCTTACAATACTCATTACCATGCACCTATTCTTTACAACTATTCTTACAATACTCATTACCATGCACCTATTCTTTACAACTATTCTTACAATACTCATTACCATGCACCTATTCTTTACAACTATTCTTACAATACTCATTACCATGCACCTATTCTTTACAACTATTCTTACAATACTCATTACCATGCACCTTAATAGAGTATCTGGTCAAAACCTGGCACAACTTAGCGAGTTTAGAAGGTTTGAGATGTTATTTGTGCTCCCTAGGGTCTCTACTTCAAAAAAAATTTGGGTGGATAATTTTTTATGTGTCTTTAAACCCGTGACCACGCCCTTTTTAAAGCGTGGGAAAAATTTGACCAAAATTATTGAAATTTGCCTAGAATATTTGATGGGGGTCTCTAAATGGCTTGTTATGATGCTACCAGTATTACTAGAACATAATAAAATAAAATGTGGGTAAATAAAAGTGGAGTTGCACCCTGACCACGCCCATTTACACAATTTTTGGGGGAAAATTCGGAAAATTCGAAGTTGTCTACTCTAGCAGCAGGGAGGTGTTTAGTTTGTATTTACACTGCTGAATCGAGTTAAATAGGTTATATAAGTCACTAAATTCAATTAATTGGGCATGTTGAGCCATTAGTTCAGCCTTGGGGAACCACGCCCATATTTCATATTAGGCGTGTATGTGAGAAATTTTTATCTCAGCTTCTGAAGGCCGTAGAAACTTAATCTTTGGCTTAAAATTACCGCAATATGTAAGTTTATATTGACACTATTAAGGTGCTGAAGCTCCCCGGGACTCACTTTTGGATAAAAAAGAGAAAAACTGATATTTACTGAAGCGCAAGTTACAAACAAACAAGAAAACTACCCTAGCAGCTAGGTTATAAGTGAAATAAGCACTTCAATGTATACAATTTTACTCGACACAGTGTCCTTCGTAAGATCTAAAGGTCATTCTGAGCTAGAATAATTTGATTTTGAGTGCCAACTTTTATCAGTAGTCCAACCCTGGCCTAGGTGATAACATTTCTAAATTGCCCTCAGGCGCAAATATATGATTTTTCTATCCATCTCAGCTCCTAAATATTATAGGACATTCAAGATAACCACAACAGCAGAATGGCCATATTTATATACAAGCTATGAAGCAGTATGGGGTCTATATTGCATAGTTTTTGAGATATTTATTTTTAAAACATGATTTTTAAAGATATCTTGGGCTTAAAAGACATTAACAATATAACAAACGTTCAACACTACCGCATTTATGTAATTTCACATCTCCCGAGCTACTGCATCTCTCAAGCTACTTAAATTTGAAGCTTGATGCATCAACTACCGTCTAACAGCACCATCAGGTCATCTTAGAAATCACAGGCAACCCGCCGGTCAGCTATCTCTAGCTAAGCTCATTTCAGTACCCGTTGACTATAATATATGCCCACTTTTATGGCAGTACAACCTCATCTAGCAAAGTCCAGCTGAAGCTACTAACAGTTACCTCCAGCCATACCCTATTTTTACTTTTCCCTCCAATTCTAGCACTTTCCACCGACCTCAATCTTATTTAGGAAACTCCAGCACCAGCTAACTGCAGCTCTAGCTATCTTCTGCTATTATCCTTTCCCTCCAATATTAGCTCTTTCCACTGACCTCAATCTCATCAAGCAAATTCCGGCTTTACCAACCTTCATTTACCTCCAGGCTCCAACTCTTCCTTGTTACTGTCCTCTTCGACTAATTGTAGCTTCTAGCCTGCTAGCTATCACCAGTATCATCCAATCTAGATTTTATAGCAACCTTTTATAGCCACGGGCCGGGTTTGCTTTCCACAATAAAGCAGGGACCCTCTGCTTGAAATGCTCATAAATAAAACATAAATGATAGCTGTTTTGACTCTCTGTGTTACACAAAATCTCACATCAACTGATCTTGAACATTCGCTGACAGATAACAAGCGACCGTGGAGGCGTGGAATTCACTGGTCACTGAGAGCACTGACTGGATGCCCTTTAGCAAGAATTCTATATTCTTTCAGACTTTTACTTAAGTCTAGTTATACATTACTTTATCATATTTTATCGAACTAAGGTGTAGTATTGCCAGATCCCAGTTCATTTTGTAACGGAGTTTTATGTTAACAGGAAACGATGTAACAACATTAAATATATTTTAATGTTGCCATGGGGTGGCAAGTCCCCATACATCGTGGTCCGGTAGTTTTATTGCGTCCTAATATACATTTTAGGAACATTAAAAAAAGAAATTTCCGGTTGAATATCCGGCCAAATTCTGGTGATATGGTGATACTGGTGATAGCTAGCAGGCTAGAAGCTACAATTAGTTGAAGAGGACAGCAACAAGGAAGAGTTGGAGCCTGGAGGTAAATGAAGGTTGGTAAAGCCGGAATTTGCTTGATGAGATTGACTCATTGAGGTCAGTGAAAAGAGCTAATAATGGAGGGAAAGGATGCTAAGATTATGTTTGCGTTTCATTGCTCAACATCTGTTCGAAGGATCAAATTTAAGAAGGGAAAGGATAATAGCAGAAGATAGCTAGAGCTGCAGTTAGCTAGTGCTGGAGCTCTGGAGTTTCCTAAATGAGATTGAAGTCGGTGGAGAGAGCTAGAATTAGAGGGAAAAGTAAAAATAGGATATGGCTGGAGGTAACTGTTAGTAGCTTCAGCTGGACTTTGCTAGATGAGGTTGTACTGCCATAAAAGTGGGCATATATTATAGTCAACGGGTACTGAAATGAGCTTAGCTAGAGATAGCTGACCGGCGGGTTGCCTGTGATTTCT